CGGCGGAGCCCGCAGCGCGCCCCACGCCGCCCCGCAGCCCGTCGGCCCCGCACGGTAAGTAGAGTAGCCGCGGGGCCGCCAGGCCGCCCGGGCCCCGCGCTTCACCTGCCTACAGCCCCATTTCCCGGCCTTTCCACGCGACGCGGGACGCTGAGCCCTCCCAGCCTGGGCCCCGGCTGCCCGGCGTTGGGGGTGCGGGTCCTTTCTGATGACTTTCGTCCTGGGGCTACCCGGGGTTGTGGAAGGCCACGCGATCGCCAGGGATTGGATGAGGAGTCCGGAGCAAAAGTGGTAACAAAGGGCCCCTTGTTGGGGCTCTGGAGCAGCGGGGGAAGCTACCTGTGACTGTGCCCTGGGAAGGGAAAGAAAAGTTTCCTTGGCCAAGCGCAGAGGCCCAGGCAGAGGAGCAGTGTCAAGGTGACTAAGGAAGGGGCTTTCTGAAAGCGGGCGGAGGGCCTCTGCGAGGTGTGCCTAATGTCAGCCGGCTTGACAGTTCCGGGAGCAGGCGGGGTGCTCGCCTCCGAGTAGGGGTGTGTGTGCCTCTGGCCAATTGGTGATGCCAAAAGCCAGCGCGAAGTCGGATTGCAAACAGCTATACTTTCTACCGTCCTCACGTGTTTGGGGAGAGATTGGAGAGGAAGGGGCTGTCACATGGTTAGTTAATATTAAATGAAGCATGTCTTCCTGCCAGATATGCTAAAAATCACCCTGCTAAACGTTTGGGTAAACAGTCATGAGAACAGGTAGTTCTGCAGGAGGTGAGAACTTGAAATAACCTTGGTCTTCCTACATGGTCAGGCTAGTTGAGCTTTTCAAGTGCGACGCCACATTACTGTCACGCTTCTTTCCCACAGTATACCCCCAAGTGTTTTTGTTTTATCTGAACGCAGTAATGCCCTAAACAGAATACGAACATTCCAGAAATAGGAAGTTAAGGAAAAGTTGACTTTGTAACCAATGAATGAGAGTTGTTCAGTTTTTCTGGGGTATGAGTGAAGAAGTCATTTTTCCCTGGAACATGACAGGCGTTTCCTTAGAAGCAAGTCACAGCGTGTTTATTCATCAGAGGCCATCGAGCATTGGCAGTTGTCTAGAGGAAACATGGAAAAGTCTCAAAGCAACATGACTAATTTAACAGACATGTAGTGTAATGCTTACGCAGAGGAATCGTGGAGTATATAAATTCTTTTTTTCTTCAAATTTCAATCTTCTTGCAAATCTCTGTATTGCTGTGGACTTCCTACTTTTGCCCAAGTGTTTCACTGTTTAGATACTAACATAGATCTTCCTGTATTTTCTTGCATTAGGGTGTATAAGAACGGAAGTATATTGATAGGATGGGCATAAAACAGGGCCTGGCAATGGAGCCGCAGATTTATGTAAGTTAATGATGGATTTCCTCTCAGATGAATTTGAGTCTCACAAAATAACAGAATTGCATTGATGGGGGATTATGACTTTAAAAAATATGCAGTTACACAAAATACATTCACAGATGCTTGGAAATCAGTGATTTCCTTGGAATTTCTTTTAGTAAAGCAGGTGAGTTCAGTTGGCTCTGTGATGAAGGATGCAAAGAGCTTTCTAGGGACAAGTGAGCTACATCAGTTATATAGTTGAGAATTTGAAGGTTAACTAATGAATTCCTTGCTTTAAGAGTATATACATATATATGTACCCAACATATATATATA